CAATTACCACAAATACAAGAATTCTGGTTGCTAATGTTGTGAATTATTGCCAAAAAAGTTGCCGTTCTTATTTTGTTGTCATCAACAAGCATATACGTTTATTTCGGGTTAATTCGTCAACAATAGTATTAATATAATCAGATATTATTATTTGTGGCAATTCGAGGGAAACATGACAGCACTTCATATGCTAAACGCACAGTGATTCTAAACAAATCGATCTATTAATATTGAAAATACGACACTATGATGTATCATGATGACATTCTATTTTTGTGGGACAGCCTTGGCTCATGCATATAACCTATTAACTGACTTCCATTGTATTTTTAAAGAAATATTGATATGAACTTAATCCATCATGGAACCAATGTATCAGAGAAAAAATTGCTCCATATATTTTTAAAAATGTACGGCAATAAAATGTCCCGGTGAATATCCGGATAAAGAAAAGAACACTTGTGAAAATTTAGGAAACATAAAAAATCAATAATACTGAATAGACATAACATCAACACAGACGTGGTAGAACGTTCAGTAATTGGTCTTGGAACTTAGCTCTTTCAATCGAGGCTTGGTTAATCTCCCTCCTGCTTAAATCGCTAACAGTTAACAATCTTACTTTTGGCTTTAACAGGTTCTCGATTGCTAATTATGCTGCAGTTATTCTTCTATCCTAAATCGGTGAGATCAATTCCGATAGTCGGTAGACTTGTAAATACAACAAAGAAAACGCGTCTGTTAAAACAATCGCATTGGCCAATTACGAGTATTTGCTCAGTGGTTTCGAAACCCTCGGTTTATACGACTGCAGAATCGGTGGAACAGCCAGGGATAATTAATGTGTATATCACTATTATATGAATAATAGCGCAAGTGTTGAGTGAAATTTACAGAGTTTCAAACTATAAGCTAAAGGTGAGTTGATGATGGTATGTTGAGCTAGCAAGATTTTCATCGCTTGCACACACGTTTTATCGTTTCGCTGACTAAACTATCTAATGATATATAATACTTTAAATATTATTTGAATGAATTAGATTACAGTAGCGGTGCATTTCGCGCAGTTGTCGGGTACTAAAGCGGTTTATTTGTGCAATACTAATACTGATACGTATATTAACCGGTATCCAAATATGGATTGTATTACTCACATCAGGTGCAAGCGCAGAGAATGTGGAGGAATACTACCCCATTTCCTTTGCCGCATAAATTCAACGGCAATGCAATGCTAATGCGGTGGGCCCCAACGGCTGCAAAGAAAGAGAGTTCTGCAGAAATGAAGAAGGCCAATTATCTGAGCAGTAGAGAACAGGCAGATATCGCCTGCATAAACCGCTCGTTGGTCAGCAGCAAGCGTTCGGAAACTTGAATTCCGCAAGTAAATTATTAATACGAATAGTGATAGGCATTTATTGATGATACCATGCTCGTTATTACTTGTGGCGGCGGTTAAGTCACGTTAACGAGAATGCTGATCTTTGAACATGAAAAAATTATAGTGATACGGTTTGAATATCATGTAACTTAATTATTTATTGCGAAGAAATTGGTACGGGGGAACATTAGGATTGGTGTGGCTATAGAAGAGTTGAGTTGAATTAGAAATAATGTTATTGTTATGGTGCATGGCACTATGATAAACAATGAAAAATATACACGCAAAATATCCAAGAACCTTTGACAATAAGTTCTATTCATTTATATTCAGAACAATAAAATTCAATGCAGACAATGTAAAACAGCTCGTTTGGGGTATGCTGCAATAAAACCAGGCAAAGTGAACATTTGACTATGTGAGGAGTTAAAATTGCTAGTGTGGCTGATTTTTTTAACTTTGATTTAGTATGTCTGATAAATTCAATTGCATTTTTTAAATCCGTATTATAGTAATCTGGTATCAAACATAAAATTGGTGAGGTAAACGTTTTATTATAATAGCAGTAATATATTTCATATAGTTTATCACTATATAAAAATATAAATATGAACTAATTTGCATTAAATCCACCATGAAACCAAAGAATTACAGCATATTAAAAAAGAACAAGGAGAAAAAATTGCGCCATACGTTTTTAAATCAATGACACCCAAACTCTCCAAGAATATCTAGATGACGAAAACTTACTTATAAAAATTTAAATTACTTCTTTACTTTGAATCAAGGTCAGCTCTTACTTCAATTTGAGCAATGCGTGGTGTTTGCTGTTTTCTCAAAAATTCAACTTCACTTTCAAGTCTTTGAATTTTATCTAACAATTCTTGCCTTTGCTTGTTATTATTATGTCAGTCTTTTGAAACGTCTAAGGCATTCAAATGAGAACCAATTTCTTCCTTGGCACTGTCTAATTTATACAGTGTGTAACGAAAAAAACCGCCTTCCGAAAATTGAACATATTTTGTAAAAAAAAAAAACAAGGGTGCGTGTTGTTATTGATGACAAACGCGTCTTTATGTTTGATTACTCCCCATGTTAGTAAACGTATTCAAGTAATAATTATCGTAATTAGTCCCGTTGTTCTCCTCCTTGTCCTTTGCAACCATGGAGAGACTTGAAGTTCAACGACAAACAATTATCATTATTGGCTTAATGGCGTCCAATTCCTAAATGAAAGACCAATATTCCTTATCACAACGAAACCATGTGGTATATGGTCAAGAATAACGTTGAAACATGGATGCTAAAAAATAAAACAATTTATGACCGAAGAATGGACGCAATTCCAGAAACGACTGTACAAAATTAATTTCATCGATGAGAAATGAGGTGTGAGCTTGTTTTGCAGAAAAATGGCGATAGAATTTTGTATTGAAAATTTTACCTGCAATAAAGTTGCATTATAAGCTTTTAAAAAATAAAATAATTGAATTGTTTAAAAATTTTGCATGACCATTGAGTTATGGTATATTTTATGATAGCGGTTTTTTTCGTTACACACTGTAATTGTAATTTTATACCTTCCCCAATCTACCAACATAACTTTGTCCCATTATCTCAGCAACTGAAAGGGTTTTAATTGGTTTACTTTTCTTAAATCACAAAAGCAATTTACCCTGTTTCTCATAGCTCGACCACAATCATTACAGTGTGGCATGGTGCCATTATCAAGATCTCCTTTACTATTACATTCAACACGAATATAGGTAAATGTCATTAGATATAGAGCCACTAGTTTTGGTATTGTAAGCTACCATTTCATGAGTGGCAATTGAGTTTTTATTACCCTCAAAAGAACAGAAATTACAGTGCCAACTATCTCCTCTTCTCAACTGACTGACTTGATATTCTAATTTCATGTTACTTGCTCTTTTGTAATATATATGCATTAAACTTCTCCTTAACTATTTTCTTAGTTTGGTTCACTTTACTCTTTATCTTACTAGCAAACAGTTTTAATTTATCAGTTTTTTTTTTGTAAGACTGGTAATTCTTGAAGTCATTTATATGATTTGGAAGAAGCTTCTGAAAGGACAAAATTACTAGAAAATTTCGTGGCATGACAAAACTATGTGGCATTTTCTTTGCTTTTATAGTCTCGGCAAACAAACTATAATTTTGGGTTCTCATCTGCCTCTTCTCGCTCCATTAGTACTTCGTCAACTAATTCCTCTATCTTATTTGCTTGTTCTTTTGATTTGCTTATTTACAGTAACGTGCACAAGTATCCTACCGGTTATAATTCAGGACAGGAATAATCAAACGCTTTAACCCTGATTATGTGTAAAATTTCAGATCGATCGGATGCCTACAGCAAATTTTACAAACATCTATCTGAACCATCAAAAACATATGAAATCATATAAACCCGTATGACGCTTATTAGGGACATAAACTTTAAAAACCCATATCTCCACATGTTGCAATCGATTTATATAATTTTTTTTGTGCTGTTTGCTAAATTGTCTCTACAGTCATACCTCTTTTAAATTCCCACCCTTTAATATCCCAACCTCAGATATATCCCACCTGCGAAGCGGGACGGATTTCCTCTATTGTATTTCCATATAAATTTACCTCATTAGTGTCCCTTCAGATATATCCCTATCCCTGATATTTTTGCCGTCCCAAATTCCCATATCGTATAATAATATATTATTATCATACGTCGGTTATATCCCCTATTTACTGTTGCACCTAATTTACTATTATTATTATTGTTATGAGAGTATTACTATTACTACTATTACACGAACTGTCATGTTATTTCTATTTTTACGTCCTGTACAACTTTTCCTCGTTGTTAAAAAATATCAAACCGTGCTGAAAACGATCAAGTCATCTTTAACTTTAGCAAACCAACGACATTTAAGCAAGAGCATAGTTTTTCAAATATATGTAAAGGCTAAACGCCAAACTTCATTAACCGAATTTATTAACCAATAAAATTGCATATTAAATGAATACCTCATTTATATCCCCAAAAACTCCTCGTCCCAAAGTGGGGATATAAAAGAGGTATGACTGTAATTATTTGCAATCAGTTACGCAGTAATTCGTTTATTAGGAAGAGCTTGAAGCGTTTCACCAAAATTTTCTCTCGGAACTATTTTCGAGCAACCACTGTTGCAACCTAGTTCCAAGAAACGTATAGCTTTTCCATATTCAGCAGAACTGCTGTAATTATCATTCATATATGTATATATATATACACGGATAATCCTATATATATATTTTATCAGTTTAGCTTTTTATACTCTTTTGTTAAGACTTTCTAAACTGCAGTTTTTGTGTTAAAACTTGCTATCCGAAATAGCCAATTAATGTCGCAAAGCGAAGAGATCAATAAACGGTGCATATTGCACATAACATCAAGGCTTAGAAAGAAATCTGTTGCCTAAAAACAGATGCTAATGAAGAGTCTGCCTGGTAGCACTTGTTCAATGCTTCGTAAATGTCACAAGACTGCAGTTCAGATGGTCACAGACGATCAATCGCGTTTAATAACTTGTGCACGTAAATGTATTTTCAAGCTTCTCGCTGTGAACACTATATCCAGAAAATGTCAGATGTACACTTGAACCATGCTGGTATGTTGCATCAAATTTTCGTTTTTACTTGACATAGTTTTATAATTGTATATTATTATTTAGATGCATCTGAACGGTACTTTATGTCAACTCCTGTAAAAGAATGGTCTTATCCTGGATATCTCGAAGCTATGCAGCCTCACTTCAACGTTCTAAACTGGAGTCACTAAAATCAGTATGGAAGAGGTGGATTAATGAACAATTGAAGGAAAAAGGACACGATGAGGAGAGAAGCAAAGCTGCATCGGATTTAATAAATAAGGTCTGTGAACATAATATAGGCAATTAGTCACAAAATTGCGCTACTGTATATCACGCAGGAGCAGGTAACGTCCTCGGTGCAATGTGTATCAAGCGTCAGTAATCAAAACATATCTTGAAATCGGTTATTGTAATAGTAATTACTCCTTATTTTTCTTAGAAAGAAAGTTCAAATGTCGTCACCTTTTTTTGAAAAGAGGAGATTAACAAACGACAGCAGGTATGTAATAAACTGGTCATTTTCCAATTATGAACCCTTTTAATAAATTCATATAGTGGTTGTTAAATAGATCACTACAAACGTCGATATACAATTGAGTACATATGCGCTGCCAATGTAACCATAATTTCAGTTGCAATAAGTGTGTCATTTCAAACAAGTGAAGAGGTTTGAAGCTTTACAATGATTTGCTGGTTATCTGCTGCATCAGCCAACCAGAGGTATGTCCCAGGGAGTCTCATCATATATTGAAGTAATGGAATGTCCTTCATAATATTAAATACGGGGAAACCAGCCATTTTAATTTGACACCTCCTATGATTTGCTTGTTTCATCCTCATAGTATTGTTCCAAATTTTGCATGCAGTTATTAAGGACTTGAAGTATGCAGACTGCATATTAATATATGATAGTTTCAGATCATAACTGCCCTATCATATGGAACAATCTTTGTGAGCCAACACAAGATTATCAGAAAATACACCACCACAGATTGATAGGCATGTGCCGAATAGTACAATAAAACCAGAGTTAGAAATCAGTAAGATAAATAAACAATTTGACAATGTAGCCATTATAAATTTACATTAACATCAATATTGAGAAAAATCCAAGTGGTTTGCACAAATATTTTATATTTTAGTATTAAAATGTCCGTAAACTTATTTGCTTCTGGAATCATAATCAAGCATTGTGTCATGTTCATCATGACTTATTATTATGCCAGATGCTTTGCAAAAGAATTGCTTAGCACTCAGTTATTTTGTCAAAAAATAGAATTGTGGATGTTAAACACTATATTAATACGAGTCAAAAAAAACACATGACTGTAAATGTGCAACAGTTATTATTATGCCTTTTTTACTATTCCCAATCTCATATCAATATAGTAAAAAGATGAATAAACGCGGTTTGTTCCTTTAACAAAGTCTGATAAATAAAACTGTGCTAATTTAAATAATGAAAAATCTAATGTTAATGTTGGCAACATTGAAAATCGGTTCAAACAAAGAACACACGATGATGACATTTGTTTACATTATAATAGACTCAACTGTATATTAATATGAAAATAGTCAATATATTAGTTTGACCGAAATGAAAAGCCATGGAGACGGGTTCAATTGTGGTTGTTCAACAAAGATTACAAGAGAAGAGTTACAAGAAGCATCTCAGTATGTTACCTTTTGTTTATTATTTGTTATTCACCAGTTTAATTATATCTATATTTATGTAAAGATAACTTATTACTGTATAATGATAACTGTAAGTTGAATTTTTATCCCGACCAAGTTTACAATTAATGCAGAAATCCTAAAATCTATCCATAAATTTAGACATGCCACTAATACCAAATCAAATCAGTCAATTTCCAGCCACACTAGCAATTTTTAACTCAGTCAAATGCTAGTTTTGCCCCAATTAATTCGAATGATAATAACCATCAAAGTTATCTGACCTATTTTTAGGTAACATATTTCCATAACATAACACATTAAGATTCACAAGTTTATTGATCACGTTCTATTGCCCGATTGCAAATAAAGTTTACATTTACTGTAAGGCAGATATTTTTAAATCATGCTTTCGGATTTTTTGAACTGAACGAGATATTTTATTGTAATAAAAGTTTATTACGAAGTGAAGAAGTAAAATAGTTGTTGGAAAATTGACAATAGCGTTGCGGTCGGCGTAATACTTGAGGTTGTGATTGGGAGAGCAAACTGTAGGCGGTTTGGCCAACAGGACGAGTTCAACCATTGCCTTTACTACAACATCAAGACTGAATACAAGCGACGTTTCTTATTTGTTTGTGAGCGCGCTCTTCTTACTTCCTATACATAACACTCTTCCGGCATTATAAGAAATCCGTAAAATAATATGGTGCGGCGCAAAAAGTTTGATACATCAACGCGTTTAATAGAAGCTTTTTTTTTTTCCTGAAATTTATTTACGTGCTTAAATAAATTGATTTACAAAGTAAGTTTTGAGAGTGTATTGACCGCAGAACATAAGTAACCTTTTCTTTAAAGGCGTGCAATAAATTGTGTTGGAAATTTAAAAAGTAGCAAAAAAATTGTCGTTTTTGGTTAGAGAACTTTACTCTCTATCCAGGTCTTTAATGAGAAAGATAAATGGTTAAGTCTGTTACGAATATTTGAAGTTCGCCATTTTTCTTGCATTTTATTTGATATGTATGCCCACAAAATTCGATTAGCAAATTTTTGCATATGAGGAATTTCAGGTGATAAATTTCGTGTATCGCGACCATAATAACAACAATTAACATTCAACAGTGTCGAAGGGGAAATTCTGTTTATGAAATAATCAGGCAATGGTTCGACTTGGTATTTTACTAGTCAAAAAGCGTATTATTTCGGTAATTAATTACAGGCTCGTGTTCTTCTTAATATTAATGACACCAACGGACAAACTTTAGAACCTATAAATTGCGCGTATGCCAAACCCACAACTTGTGAGTTTTTTTGGGCGTTATCCAGCAGGTAATTAATTATATTCAATATAACGAAAAACTTGCAGAGGAAATTGTTTATCGTTTAGTATAAGAAAATTGTGATAGGATTATTATTCAATATTAAACATATCGTTTTGTTGATGTGATACTGGCCGCTTATACAAAAAACCCCGCGTTTATAAAAAAATACCATAACTCAATAACCATGCAAAATTTTTAAGCAATTCCAATTTTTTTAGAAAGCTTATCATGTGTTTTATTACATATAATTTTAATATAAAGTTCTATCACGTTTTTGGCCAAAACAAGCCCCACACTTATAAATTTAAATTTGTACAGTCGTTTCTGGAACTGCATCCCATTCTTCGGTCATAATTCGTCAACATTTCTTGGCATCCGTTTTTCTTGACAATAAACCACATGTTTTCGGTGGGATTTACGGTAAGTCCGGACTATTGAATGGCCCAGTTAACGGTCCGAAATACCTCACCCCCATTTTAATGTAATTTCGGTAATCGGCGAATCGATTTTTCGACCGACTTTATCCAAAAAAGATAAAATGCTGTCTCGTCGGTAAATATAGTGTGGGCGCAATTGTCCTGTAAGGGTGCCTGTGCCCAAGCTTTTTTTTTTATAGGTCGCCAAATGACAGCATGCGAAATGGTAATATTCTGTGTTTTCTGTATGGCAGAAGCAAGTTTCCGTGCTGGTGAAAACAACCTAATGTTATCTGTGAGCAGAGTTGGATATTCTGAATATGCCTATTATTCCTATCGTAGACCATAACATAAAAGTTCGATATAGCACTACTTTTTGTCCAACGGTTGCGATCGACGTTTATGTAACCATGGAAGGCCGTTCGTTAACCTTCTTATGTTCGATAGTTTCTGTACCTCGCAATTTTTTTAGATAGTCAAAAAAGTGCAATAAGGAATATTGGCCTTTTTATGTATTTCCTTCTGGGCTTAAGCCAATAATAATAAATTGTTTGTCGTTGGACTTCAAGTTAACCATGGTTGCAGAGAACAAGGAAGGAAACTACGTGACTAATCACAATATTTATTATTTAAATACATTTACTAACATGGATATTAAGACGCGTTTGTTGTCAATAACACGCTTTCTTGTTCATTTACAAAGCAGGTTCAATTTTCGGATGGCGGTTTTCTTCGTTACACGTGCACATCTTTCAGTCACTAAAGAATGTTTACCTATGTAGTTGCCTGTCGATCATTGGATTCGTTTGACTGCGGAGAAAAATTTCACCATGTGACTCGCTTATCTTGCGTCTAAGACTGTCATCGTTTATGTGTCTAATTAGAGTCATATCTAACAATTGACGATCCCCATTGTGTATATAGTGCCACAATTCTTATACAACCGCCAATAAACGATTGTTGAACGCAAGCCAGCAGAACAATCTCGTATTGCCTTATTAGTATTCTCTTTAACAAAGTTCAAGTCCAATTAATTTGCATCCCCCACAAACAAATCTAACTGAGAAAGGCATATTATCGGAAATTGTAAAAAATGACGCATATTTATTAAAACAAACGTAGATATACAATCAACACAAAGAATTATTATTCTTCGGAAGCAAAACTCTCCGAAAAAAGAACCACTTTATTATGGCAACCTGCTTTTTCATTACTATTCTCAACGTCCATAACCCATTAATCGACCAGCGATGTTAAAATTAACGAAAATATCCATCAATATCCAAGAATTAATTATACTATTAAGATTTTCATCTGTGAATTAATTATAATCTACTTTTTGCTACTATTTTATCAATTCAATAAAGTATCGATAGACATGACGTCCAGACTTCTCGTTGGTAAATTATTTGCTAATTTTTCCTTTTCTTCTACAGCAACGTCTGCGAGTCGCATCAGTGAGTCAGTTACGTCATGCCCGAGTTCCGTACGCGTTTCCACTTCTACCTTTACTTTGTCAGCAGTTATTATGTCGTTGCAGAGTCCTGTCGACATCCAATTTGATTTCTCAACATACGCATCGGATGACAATGGTGTATATGGCGGGGTGAGCGGTATGTATGAGGAAATTAAACTTACAAATTGTGAAGGCTTATGGTAGACATACGAACTAATGGTATCATGGGTGTTGGGCCCATGATGTGCATTATAAGAATTTGGATACAGATAAGTTGAACCATTGTCGTTTGTAGAAAGTTTTGAATGGTGTATCGGAGTAGTGTCCAAAGTAACAAGAGCAGAGGTTTGAACGGGAAAAATAATCTCCGGTGCTGGATTGACTAAACGTGGAACGGGATTAGTGTACTTGCAGGTACGTTGTTGTAAAGTAACAATAATATTAGATACGCAGAAAAAAAGTCAAATAATGCAATTATATTACCTTCTTTACTTTTATTTCCAACTCTAGTTTTCTTTTTCCTTGTTTCAGCGTCATTGCTCCTCTTAAAATGTCTGCCATCCTTTTTAATTTTTCTTATTTCATCTTTTTCACGTATATGTTCTTCCCTGAGCTTACTCATCTCACTGCACCATTTCTTTTCATGTTGGTTTTTCTCTACACGTCTGTACAGCTTGGAATAGAATCTATTCTTGATCATATTGGCCGGTCTCTTTAGCTGTTTACCCATTTCCGCCCATTTGGTATTGAGTTTTTTGTACATTTCCAAAATTTGCAGATCCTCTTCATGCGTAATAGGAGAATATAAAACTTGGAAAAGAAAACAACGAGTGATAAGGAAAGGGTTTGATTGGACAAGATGGAAAAATGAAAACTTTTGGTGCTTACGGTTTGGGTCTAAATGGTTGGTCCAGCTGAAAGAAGAGACAAGAAAATTTTTATATTTATTTGTTTACGCAACACGTATTAAACACAGGTACTCTCTTTATATTTACCGTTCTCGACATTGCTTGCCATCCCTCGTGCCGTGCTGTGTTCCAATAAGTTTCCAATTCTTTATTCCTAACGTCTTTACAAGCCGTTTCAACTTCTGGTCTTCCTACGAAAGAATAACGTTTAATTAATTCGTTGCCGGATTAACGATGTTTGACAGCTGACATTAATACCAATAATAACTCATAGCCCGTTGCACTCAGCCCTGTTACGCGCTCATTGCCACTCGCTTACGCTTATCTAGCACACGCAAATACTCACTTCTGTTTCCCATGATCCTGTACGGCGAGTATGAGTGGACATTATAGCTTGGTTACAAGAGATTTTATTGCGAGAGTGTCGAGTGAGTAAAAAAGTGTGATATTATAGCACTTGTTTTAGTTTTCGCCGTTTGATAAAATGTCGGACTGATAAGTCGGAAGGGGGAGGGGGAGATGTGGGTATATATGCGATTGTGAAATGGGAGTTGATGATGTAATCGAGTAGTTGAGACATTATGGGTTACATTAAAGAAAAATTCACTATTATTACAGTTATGGTGAGATACATATGATCTAGTAGAAATAAGAATTTTGGCGGCGCGACAAATTCCGTGACAATGGGATGTGATACGTGAGGAACTTATTGAACTAATTCGTTGTCTTGAGAAAAAAAAAAGCAGAAATGTTTGATCTTCTTGTTCTTTGTTACATCAATCCAAAAGAAGCCTACCAAGTAAGTGGCCGACTATTCTAAAGACAATATATTAATGGGCATAAATTACAATGGTCCATTATTCCGTATTCTATTTGCTGACGTAAATGTAAATAAATAAAAACATTTTCTTGTAAAGTATTATATGTATGTATATTATATATTCTATGTATACATTATTGTTTGTTTCCTATTTCGCCTATGCTTATAAACCCCAGGGCGTTTTCTATTGTTTCTGTTTCTGGTATGTCTGCATTCAAAGGGTTCTTACAAGGGGGTACGAACGAATAAGAGTATTGACAAGAGTCCGGATGCAGAAGCAGAGGACACAGGAGTAGGAGCAGGATCAAGAGTAAGAGTAATATCTATTAATATTTTAGTATACTGAACGATCATCATATTAGACAAGGGTAAAAAAAAAAACGTCAGATTATTAGAATATCGCACAGCAACATGCATCGTTTTTATGGTTAGGGTCTAGATCATATTGCTCGAACAAGACTATCGCATCACGCGATTTATTTTCGAATTAGGTTAGCGAATTACAATTGTGCGCAGTAATAATATGATATTCCAATTGGATGTACAGTATATATAATGTATAATGTCTAAGATATGTTATGTTTGTTATGTTATATTTTATATGTTCGTAATTAGTTATAAAGTCTACACCAAACCTATTTATATGAGAAAGAGACGATTAGAAACGGAATAAAGGTACATCGCGAGATATTAAAGTTGGGATTTGTCTCACCATAACAGTTCTTACAAGACTCAATCTCGTATTTTAGTTCGTTTGGTAAACGTAAACTTGATAACCCTGATCATCTTGGTTGTCCTGATTGCTTTGATCGTCCTGATTGTTTTGGTTGTTTTGATTTTGTTGGTAGTCTTGAGCAGCAGCACAGAATATTCTATGATGAAATTGTGATGATTGCAAAAATTAGACCCTAGATTGGCACTGGCTCCATAGCGTACATGATATCATATGACATTGCCTTACTTGAGCAGTTTCTTCAATCCCTTCTTAATTTTCTTCTCCGTGGACTTCTCCTTTTTCTTTCCGTGTTTGTTTCCGTGCTTGTTTCCGTGCTTATCTTTAGACATGCTTGCTCAATATGTAATTCGGTAAAAATAATTTTGTGAAAAAAAGTATGTGAGGAGAATAATGTAAGTTACTGGTCTTTGAAAAGGGGTTTATATAATAATAATTTTTGCGGTCAATTCACTCACTAATGGGCAATAAGGCTATTCAATTTGTATCACTTCATAATTACAATTGAGCAACCAGTCACAATATCTTATGATCAACTTTTTAACCTATCACGGCCGAAAAGGACTCTGCACAACATACGATCTAACGATAATGTTGCACGATTCTTTAAAATTTAGCCTTGAAAATATCAGCCGCAGTCGGATTCAATTAATGAGCGACATCGTTTTCGGTTTTGTTATCATTGATTACCGAAATTGGAACTTGGTTGACAATTACTCTTAAATGTTTCGATTATAGCCATAATACAAGTTTTATGGTATTATATGATTAAAGTCCACTATTAGCAATATGCACAAATATTATGGTGTGACTTGAAAGTATACAGATTAATAATAGAGTATTGGCTCGGAAAAATTCTTATTTTATTTTTTCATAAAGTGCAGGCCTTTGGCAGACATTCTATTAGGCTTATGGAAGATTGTACATTGCATACTGCATTCAAAAGAACAAATTTTAGAGAGAAGCCTTACCAAATTTAATGAATAGGTGTGACAATTTGATGCGTGATGGTCGACAAATATGTAAATTACTATAACATCATACCATGTATGTCGACTCATTCATTAATCAGTCTCTTTTGAAGTGTCTTCCATCGGGTTAGACACGCATTGGCATTTCTATTGGGCACTTTCTTACTGACTTCTGTCCACGGTGGAGTACCCATATGAGAGAGGATGGCCTCGATCAAAAGTTTGTCTTCCGAGGCCGTCCACATATTCCTCGTAGAATTGGTTCCAGCTGGCCTACCACGCTTTCGTTTTGTTGGCGGTTTCCCCTGCAAACAATTGTTCTATTTTAATGCTTATTAAATATGACAGTAAAAAATAAATGGCAATTTTTACTTTTGTGCCGATATCATCAACCCTTTCTTGTTTAATACAGTTGTCTCCGTACTCGTTCTGGACAACAAGCCTTTCTTCGTCCCTTTGTTTCGTACTTGTCCCGGGATCAGCAAAAATAGTGACAGATTCCGTATTGACGCTTGTATTACCCGAGGTTTTACGCGGCATTCTTTTGTCAGAACGAATTTGGCTGCGAGATCGAGAATATCGTGAAATAGAACAGAGAGCCTTGATATTTATAACCATCAAGAAAAGCCTATTACTTAAATTATGATTATGACTATGATTCTGATAGAGTTCATCATATTAATTGTACAATAAATACGTCTGAATTACGCTCTAAATCGGACGTCTAACCCCACACACATAAAACACATCTATATTTATTTCACTATGGCATCAATGTCACCATCACATGCAAGGCAAAGATTACATTCTGTGCAATATGCGCAGAACAATTCATAACCTGCTTCCCCTATTCTTTTTTTATATCGGTCTCCGCTGCCTTGACATGTATTCTATGTTTATTCACTTGTTCACTCGTTATCGTTTTCTCATTCTCCTTTTTTATCTTTTCTAATATCTGCTGTCGAGCTCTCTTGATCTCTATCGCAAGCCCAGGTATATCAATTGCTTTCGCAATACTGTCTATTAAATTGTCGTCAAGAATTTGAGTTTTGATATTAGTTGAGCTGTAAATTTTATTGAAAACATCCGAATCAGTAGGTGAGAGACGCGAGGTATCGAGAATATAACGAAGGTGTTGGGCGCCTTTGTACGCTGAGGTAATCGCCAAGATCGAGGAGAATAAGAAGGGTGAAAACGCGTAAATCATAGCGGCATATTAATCGTTAATTCAAATAGCGACTTTTTTTGTTTTAGACTCGCAATGCGTATGATATCTTACCTTTGTAATGACTATATAAGCGGAATAAGTTGTAGAATAATGGTATATTTGGTATAATTGGTACTATTGTAAAAGTACACGCCAATGGCACCCATAGGGCAGAATAAATCATATACTTTCGATGATAAGGCAAGCGGTCTGTGATCAACTGATCAAGACTCATTGTAGCCTTGTTTGCTGATATAACAGTTGAAGGATAAATAAACGGAACCTACGAAATAGTAAAAGGAAAGAAAAATAACAAATAGTGAGAACTTGTGTCCTTGTATCCATAAAAACATATCCGAAACTTACTATCCGATAGTATAACAGTTCTCTAATCGCCCCCTCTCTCTGTTTTTTTTTTCTCTCACACAGTTTACCAATTCATTGCTTCTCAGCTCAACCTTTCTTTCCATAATGGGCACGCTCTTGAGGAAACTTTCTTGATGATCAGTCTTATCCAACAACTGCTGTCCTACTACATATAGTCGCACTTTCCAACGACTTTTCTTAACGTCTTTAAGAGAATCCCATTTTTTAGCTGTGTAGGCTGTTATTTTGGCAAGATACGATTGTCGTGTCGAAATGTGTTGGCAATAGAATGCAGTTTTATGACTAAAGAGAGGAATACAAAATAAACGCATTTGTGAGAAAAAAGTTTATCAAGATGAGATGACTAATCTGATAAAAGAAAAGCGAGTATTTTGAGTGACGTCATGGGATGATCGCACTATTATAACGTCGTCGGCAAGGATAAAGGAGTCAATCATCTACTTTGTAACAAGTACTAAAGCTAGTAGTGACTCTGTCTATTAACATTCTAAATTGCTCCCTTATATGTGACAATTATTATGATATGACTCCGTTCGTTGGGAATCAAACTTGTAATAGTAATGATTGGAAAAGTGCATCTGTCTTGGACTTTTACGAATAAATTAATCCGATTCGTAAAATACTCGAATGGATTGTCAACTCTACACTGCTAATGGAATATCGTAAACAGTATTCCCAAAGCCAATGTTACGATGTTCATTAAATCGTGTAATCACACATCAAAGCGCTACAATTATACGATGCAATGGTTGAATTTACAACGAATCACGTGTCTGTAAATTTTTGATGGGGGCAATACAGAATATTCGGCATTATTTCGCGGCTGATGCTGAAACCATGACTTTTCATTGGTTGATCAAATTTTATTCTTTAATCCCATTGGTTAGTTTCAACTTCAGCCGGATTTCAGCATCGGCTCCCACACTTAAGTTACTGTGTGTATTAGCAACCAAGTCGACAATACAGTAATAAGTAGGCCAATTGTATCAATGCAATCATTTTTGCTTATACAATTATATTACAGCTGCGGATAATTCCTGTTTATACCCTGGAGTATGTGTATTCTCTTGGTGAGTAATGACAAGAGTCCAATTAATTTAAAGCTTTACTTAGACTTATGTTAAAATCATATCTGGTTAACAACTTATCAATGAATCAAGTAATTTAGATTTGGAAAAGGCATAGAGCCAGGTCCCGAAAGACGCATTTCGATAACCAACAGAATCTTTGTAATATCGCGCTCAATCAGCCATCATTTGATAGAAATAAAAAGATTTCACACGAGGGGTATTCCTTGTTTTAAACAAAGCGATAGAGTAAGGTATTCGTGTTACAACACAAATTTGTATCTAGTCTATAGAACTATGTGGCATTACAAGTGGCGCATGTCTTGGCATTAGCAAGAAAATTGATCACTGCAGGTGTCCATGCTATTGACATGTTTTGCAACATATTTAGTGTAACAATTCAGACATTCTGTTCAGCTCAAATGTAGTGAAAAAACAATATTCATCCAATGACTTGATAATTTGTTCCGAATCAGGAAAGTCATGTGTCACGATTTATGCAAAAAAGATATTATCAAGTACTTGTTTGTGATTTTCAAACTGAAGGGTAGCCAGTGGTTTCTGTCCCGAAGATACGAAATTCGATATCGAAGTGTTATTAAGTTGGTGCTACAACCGTTCACGTTCGATTGGTCAACCAAAGCAATAGACTATACCATTTAAAGCTAACATTGATATTCACTGCATTAAAGTTCGAAACGTTTAGCCGTGATAGAAGAATTCGGTCTTAACAAGGAATTGCCTCCAGTTTATCATTGCAATCAGTTTGAAAAGTGAAAAAAAAAACAAGTTGCTCAGAAAGGCATTGTTCAGTCATGTCTTCAATTCCGAGTTTGTCGTATATCCGTTTGCGAGTGTAACCAACAGTGACATGTCAATGTTTATTCTGTAAGATGTATATATAGAATAACACATATGCGTATATATGCAACAATACATTCAACAATTGCCCGCGGAACATTTGCATTCATCCCATAATTGTATAAACATATTGGTATGAATTATATATATATATAGTCGTGTGGGGGGTATTCGTGTGGTTTGCCCAACGATAACAAGCCTAATGTCGCTGGCACCATCTTACTCGTCCGAAACCAACTCCCAGCCATTGTTTACACCGGAATATTGTCAGTCACCAGTCGATGGTTACTTCATTCATGCTGCGCCCCGAATATCGAATAGCAATGAGGATAATAAAATGAAAAAGTATGATGATGATGATTTCGTTAGAGTCAGAATGCATGCTATCGGTCTATTGGGGCATTTAAATGATTCAATTGTGTGATCTCTGTCCATATGATTGTTAGACAGCATGACGTCAATGAGGAAAAAAGAAATAAAAAAGAAGAAGAAGAAGAAGAAGACGGCAATAACCAAGACGAAGAAGAGGAAGACGATGATTATAACGACGAAGACAGTCTAACAAAGGTATACGTTCTGGAATTCAGCTCAACATGATATCACATGAATAATTAGTGCAAGTTATTTGTGACAATTTGAAATGGGGCAAATTATGATTTGGTCTAGAGCATACCTACCTATAGATGGATAGTTAACAATCGAACCCATTTCGCAGGTGGAAGACGATTATCAAGTGTCTGTCGATAAAGATTACGAGATACGAACTGAATTCCAAAAGAAATGTTACGATTTCTTTGAAAGACCCAGAAGTCGAATTGCTCGAACATTTTTCTGTTTATCCGCAGCATGTATTCTTATCACTGTGGTTATGATTTGCGTTGATTCATTACCCAAATATGCCCTTCTTGATTGGGCTCACTATCACCAATTGTGGTAAGTTTGAGAACAACTTGAATCGGGATCATCATGGAGGGTTTGGTTGATCTATTTGCTCATCAAACATTTATTGCAGGTTACCTCTTGATACGCTTGTTATCGTGATATTCACAGGAGAATATATTGGCCGATTCTTGGCTGCAGTAAATAAACTGAAATTTGTCATCAGTAAGTTGAATTTTTTCGTCACGAAAGTTAAGAAATATCCGATTTAATCCTAGTATGTTATCTTACAGGACCAATGAATTTGATTGATCTACTCTCAATCCTTCCATTCTATATTCAACTAATTATGCCAGGAGGACCAGAAGTTAGTTTAATGATCGATAACTAACACATGATTACATTATATATGATAGATAGTACCCGACGCGTTCCCCTAATGGATTAATTGGTAATGTATTGTTGATTCAATTCTATATTAATTTAGGCCGCGTTTCGATTTGTAAGAATTTTACGACTTTTCAGAGTATTACATCTGTTTGACTTTGCCAAACGTTCTGTCGGATTCAAGGTAAAAGGATTATTACAAACACTCGTAATGTTGTTTTACGTTCAATTGCACTCTTACTTATTCTTCTACGCATGTCTTATTAGGTTACTACAAGAGTGATCAAACGCTCGCTTATCCAAATCTTTATGGTGTCATTCTGGTTTTTCATCGTCCTTCTCCTTTCGTCTAGTTTAATGTACTTTTTGGAAAGAGGACAATTTGATGAGGAAAACGAAGTTTGGCTCAGAGTGAATCCAAATGGTCAACTAGAAATAAGCCCGTTTCAGTCAATTATACACGCGTTCTACTGGTCTATTGTCACACTGACAACAACTGGTTATGGTGATGTAACTCCGTACACCGGATGGGGCAAAGTTTTGGCGTCAGTTACAATGATATGCGGGATATTAGTTATTGCAATGCCAACCTCCATCATCGGGTCAAACTTTGTTGCCGAATGGACGTTACATCAACGCGCTCGATATTTGGCTAAAGTAAGAAAGACTCGCCATCAAGCAGAACATCCAAAAACTGCAATTTCATGGCAGAACAAATTCCTTCGAAAACAAAACCGGGAATTGCTAGAAGCAATCACAGAAGTACAAGAAAAACTAGCGGACGTAAATCCACCTCAATATTATCAACGATACAAGAGACTCCGCATACAATATGAGGCCGCACTAAAGAAAATAGACCAATTAGAAGCATCGTTAGAAAAAAGCAAGAGTTGTACTTGCTGTCACGAATGTTGTAACAATCGATCCGGTACCGATAATAGCGAAAAGAAGTTTGGTGATCTGCAGAGAAGCTGGTTGTCAATTCAGGGATTGCGCAATATATCTCGTAGGTCATTCACGTTGCCAAACGATACAGACATTGATCAAAAAGTGAGTGAGAAAACGATTACTGACGAAACGATGAGGGACGACCCGCACGAATCGAAAGGCAAGGCGAATGCTGCTGATGCTAACAAGCTTAATATATTCAAACACGTTGGCCGATCGCTGTCTCTCGGTCATTCTGATAATTGGACATCGTCAGCGCACGGAATGGCCAAGAATCTCGTCAGCTCTCCATTCAATCCACGTCCGGCTAAACCTCTAATTGTCTCTGACGCGAATGATAACGATAATGAAACGTCAAACATGACCGTTCAGTCTCTACCAAACGAAGTGCGCATCGAAAATGAGGAATATTCTAAATACAATGATCCGAACAGGTCGACCGTAGGCAAGAAGGGATTAATGGATCTTTTTAAAAAAAGGAAAAACAGCGAGATTCCTTCTAAAGGGGGAGGCGTGAATGCGACCTCCTCGGAAGCGGTCATCATAGACGTTGATACGAACAGAACGCAAACGGAAGGCGGGAATGTCGATAGAAATGACGACAAAAGGGAGAACATTATCGAGGGACAGTCCGTTGTCAGTTATAAAGAGACTATGTCTGAGAAGGATAAATTTACTAGTTACGATACGAATACCAATGACAATGCAGGAATCAAAATTGTTATAGAGTGTCCACAAGATGAAAGCGATAATGATAAAGATGATCAGAATATCAATAAGGAAGAACAGATGCCCCATCAAACGAACTAATTAAGGAGGAACAATTCGTTGAGCACACTAGACTTATTCTTCAACACAGAATAATTTCGTGTTTTGAAATTGCCATCAGTGGCTGCAGGATTATATTTATAAGAGAATATGTGGATGTCGTCATGAGTAATTGGACAAGTATATGAAAAGGGATCGAAGTTAAAAAAAAATTGGATGATGGACTACATAATCAACGTATTAAAATATAAACTTTGCAGAAAAATAGGGGGTGGGTGTAAAATACAGAACGATAATTGTAGAAAAAATGAGAATTTTCTCTGAAAAAATAATCCTAATGAGGAACTAGTACACGAAAATAAAGAATAGATTTTGTGCAAATTCTACTCAATGATTGACATATCAAATATTAGTGGCATATTACTGTTCCTTTCACTACATTTATGAAGGCGATAACTTTTAACGCCAATATGTTTTTGAAACTGGTGATTATCTCAAGGCAAACTCAGGTGTTATTTATGTGTCGCCGCTTGCGTTAGCCGCTGTGAATATGTTTCTCGACGGACTGTCATATTTACGGTATGTAACCAAGCTAACCCTGTCAGTAGGAAAAAAATGACGGTTGCCAAAGTAATACGATTTCTAAATAAATAAAGCTCTCTATTTTGCCAAATCATAAATTAAAATGGGTCATTTATGTTAACCAGCTTTAACTGCACACACGATGTATGTTAATAACTGGCATACACATTTCAAGTAGCAAAAGAATTTATTGCCCAAATAAGAGTAAGGCAATTGACTGGCCAGCAACTATAAACTAGTCCAGATCTTAATTCTATAACGACAATTTGTAGCGAATAATTAAGGAAGCAAAATATTAAAAACTTGAAGCATTTATTTAATTAAATGAGAACTAATTTTTATTAAAACGGGAATTAATTTTTGCAGTCTACGGAAAATGGGTTATTGAAAAATTGTGATATATAGTAAATCTGTACTGACAACCCGAAGGGCGTCCGAACGTAAGATAATTTCATCAGAATGAAGGCTCTTTACGTCAAGTTTTATCTTGCAGAATTTGTCACCGTCATTTTTTCGTTATTATTAACATGAATTAGATTAAGATTAAAAATACCTTCTTTGCAATAATAACTTAACATTTCCCCTTGAGTCAATTGTCGTATTTGTAGCAGCAAGCATTTTACGTATTTTTTATGCCCCAATTTTTTGTTCATTGACATAACCAAAATTAACATGTACAGTACAACATTTTTGTCATACGTCAAGTTACGAATAGCTCATTTATCAACTACGTGGATAATCAGTATTTTTATCTTCAGGGCGAGAACTGTAAATAAGGGAGACTCCAGCGTAATTACATATTAATATGGGCGGACAAATTTTAACCTTTCAAAATCAATTACTGACGTTGTTTATTCAACACGGCAGATTCGCATCGTCATATGATTTTCATTTACAAACCAAATTTGGCAAGAGAATGGTTGCACATCGAATATTCAAATTTTGACGCGACGGAGAACACGAGATGAACACTTTGAATATTTACCTAAAATCACAAAAACATGTCTCTAACAAAGGATCAAGACATTTCTACACAAGAAGATGTATTCCTGAAACTGGCGCAAGATGCTGGCTTTCGAATATGTTCCGACGGATCGATGAAGCTTGGTGAGTAACTTGACTTCATTTTTAAAAGCCTTTCTATACAGCCTTTTGTTATTAACTAATTTGAACACACGCGATAGTTGTTGAGCCTGCCGTTTATCGTCGTGAGCTAGCACAGAGATTACGAGCTCATTCAGAATGTCCATCTCCGTTGCCTGAAAGATTCTGTAATGCTTTCCAGAACTACGTGGAGGATCCTACCGTTCTGCGTGCTTGTCTATTGCCATTATCTATCGATGTTTCTGGAAGAACGTATGGCATCTTTTTTTGTAACAAAAGTCATTTTCTTTTACGATTTTTTTTCTTATTTCAACCATCGTTTCTAGCCGATATGCTCCGACCGAGAGTTTAGTCCGTCTACTACTAACAATTGACATTGTACAACCACTATTACTGGATATGCTCCTGGAAAAACTTCCGGAATTTCTGTCCGAGTATGTAGATTCGGTTAATTTGTGAAATCGTCAGAAATTTTTCCTCACAATCATGATCATTTCCTATTGACTGTTAGCTCCGTAGAATCACCACTACCACGTCTTATTTTACATCAAATGAAATGGCTTGATCATATTGTTGAATCTCAACGACTTGCTTCCAAGATTGCAGAGGTATATGAAAAGTTAATTCCATGGTTTAAACAAAACGTCGGTTTAACGGATAGCCTTTATTTAGATAATTACAGTGACTCCACTTGGAATACAGAAGGAAATTATAACAAGTCTACCAGAGATTATTAGTGACTCTAAGCAAGTTGTATGTAATAACGTTCATACGCTCTTATTAGAAAGGATACATGCTAATTTGCTCGGGCTTGATTCAAATTAGGAAATCGGTAAAGAATTGAAGGATTTAATGGAAGAAAACTGTCAACTGACGGTCCCTATACTCGATGCCCTTGCTAATTTTACATTGACCGATGACTTGCTGCGTGATGTGCGAGAAACTATTATCGATCGTCTAGAGTCCGCAGATATTGAGGATTTACCTGTTGTCATTAAATTCATTCTGCAAACGGCAACAGGAAATGATGCCGAAAGAGTATTTATTCACGTTTGAATGAACTGCATCTTTTATCAGTTCCCAAGGTTTCCAACTAATTGGCGTGGGCCATAATTACTTAGATTGTTGAACATATCAGACAGAAACTGGACTTCCGCTCTATTATGCAGTTACGACATGCTGATATAGATGATAAACCGCGTTCAGCAGTGCCTAAGAAAGAAAGAATTCCAGAAGCTTTGATACTGGAATCCTTGAGGATCGGCATTCAATTTCATAAATTCATTAAAGACGCGTGGATCAAAACAATTACCGATGTGGACAAAGCGGTAAGAACAAAAGTGACTTTTTCTCTGATAGTGTTATTCAACCATGTCTGATATTCATGAACGTGCTCAATGTGTTTAATATGTAGGCTGACCATAAGGTTATTGATATTGTGGTGCTTATTATTATACACTCTATACCAAGTATGAGGAAAAAAATCCAAACCGTCTTCCGGAAGAAAACTGCCAGCGGTTTATTCTCGAAACAGCTTTTACAAGAGACCATTTTATGCCATGCAGATGGTTTGAAAGACTACTTCAATTCCATTCTCTCGTTATCGGAGAGTCTCCTCAGATCAAGCCAGCAGCAGAGTGTCATTGCACCCATTGCTTGTGCATTGTATCTGAGCTCTTTCAAAGCGTTCGACGCATATCATCGACAAGAAGTTGTAGGGTCATTGGTTACTCATATTGGAAGTGGTTCACAGACGGAGGTTAATTCGGCTATGTCTGTATTGTTGCATATAGTAAGAGAAGACACACAAAAAATGAGCCGGTTTACGATATTTATAAAAGGAATACTAGATTATCTAGATAATTTGACCATTGACCAAATTCAAATTCTGTTCGATATATTAAGTAACCTGGCATTAGAGGCAAGTTTTTACGTAATAATCGACTTGTTATCCGCCGTCCCTTTTTAACCGAGATAATTCTTAACATCACGCATTTTAGGACGCCAACCAAGGCTTAGGTTCTGGCGGCTTACTCGCAGAGATTTCCATAGTCATTCAAAAACAGTTGACAAACCCTTCCGAGAGGTACAAGCAAATAGGTGTCGTTGGTGCTTTAGCTCTTGTGCAAACTCTGGGATCTAAGGATGCTTCTAGAAACCTCAATGGCCCATCTTCATCTTGTTCTGGTAATTAACCAAACGCTTATTGCCATTACTTGGGTTTATACGTGTCTCACATAGAATGACTTTCATAGATTCTAATCCCCAAGAAATAACGCAAGTTCCTCTGTTAAATTCTGCTGTTGAAAACTTGGAAAAGTTACGAATACATTGTTCTCGATCAATGGTATGCCATTACTATGAATCTTATGAGCGTGATTCTTTAGTTTAGCATATACTTATTCTCACGCTACATGGTCAAGAAATGTCTTTCTCTGGCGTATGATGAGCTTGCATATCTTGTTGCGAGTGGATGCTTGGATGAGCGTCTTGTAATGTGGATTAAAGAGAAGTTGACTACCCCATTCGCAGACATCTATTTGTGTGATGCAGATGATGCTGGTAACTTGCAGACTAGCGCTGCTCACTTAGATGGACTGCCAATTGAAATATGGATGCACTTGGACGAACCGGTGAGATAGTAATCCGCAATTTGCAAGCGATTGACTCGATACGTTACGATTAAGACGCTCATTATCTACTAGGACTCTGTATTTGTCAATTTGTACCCTTTTCTCTGTGCCCCGCTCGTTAGTTCAGACGTACATGCTTCCAGTAGACGTGATTGGATTGTTTGCATGTGTTCTATGTTTAAATTAATTCAGGCTTGTGAGAAAGCCAATAATAACGGACAGTTGGAGAGCATTGATGCTTTGTTAGGCTGTGGTTTGTTAATGTATGAGAGAAAGGCAGAGATATGGGTAAGTATGTAGAGCGATATCGTATCGGGAACTCTTCTTCGTAAATTAGCAATTACGATAATTTACAAATAATTATGTGACTTTTACGTTTGTTAGGATACGAAGGAGACGGAAACGAAGACTGCACATATAATTGCATGCAACGCGCTATTCTTTGCAATTAATTGGTATTACAATTTTAGTTTATATTTGATGACTGGTTGGGCCACATCCGACGGATGCTAAACACTGTTTACATTCTGCAACAGGTATAGGGAAATTATAAACGCTTTTTGCGGACAGCTTATTGATGACTTTCGTGGTGAGTTTGAAATATTTTTGCTTTTCAGTGTCTATGAATTGGCTTGAACGGACTGATCAAAGATTGATAAATTTGTTAGAAAAGATAATTCTACGCCTTCGTCACATTACCGAATTAGAAGATTTACTTGATAAATTGATAGAGTCTGTACCATCATTTCAACCGCTTGGATACGGACAAATACAGAAAACCAATGATGCGGAGCATCGAATTCTTGTTTTAAACGAAACAGATTCGCAGCGAACACTTGGACGGTCTCGTCGAACTAAGATGAGAGGGGCTAACACAAAGAGCATGCGATCTAATGATAACATCAATGAAAGCCAAGACAAATCTACAAATGACAACACCCTAGCTGGCAAATCGGTCACTCTTGCAGACATTAAACCGTATATGCGCGAATTTGGACTTGACGTATACAGTTTACTACAATACTGTGAATTGAATTTGCATACCGTGGCGGTGGAAGATGTTGAGCAAAAGAGCAAGAGTACTAAATCGCAGGACAAGAACGTTAAATTGAGAGAACGGGAAATGATCTATCTCCTCGACGACTTGATACGTAAACTGGAATTTAAACTTTCCTCTTCGGAATCTCCTAAAAGTATAAAGAAATCGAGTAGACTTAATGTTGAAGCAAAAGATATGGGATTTTCATCCATTGCGCGTGCAAATGCGATAGACATTGTGAATGCAGTAATTGGTATATTGCCTCATATTTTGCGCCATATGGAGTCAGTATACAATCTCTTGGATCCAGAATCAGATGATGTCATCGATGAAGAATCTACCACAATAAACCGATGCTCTGAGCTTCTGCTAGACGTCCTTGAACGAGTAATTATGTGGACTGAATTGAGAAACTCGGATAATGAGGATTGTCTGTTAAATTTGCTGAAATGTATTGCCTTTTCATCACATTCATCAATTCCAACCGAGATGCAGCAATTGAACGATTTGGCTCAGAATGCATTTGATCAAATGCAGAAGTACGCGTACAGAATTCCGACATTAAAAGCTGCTATCTTACTACATAAGATTCTTGGTAGCATAGCTGACATTGGAAACGGCTGTAACGAGCTAAGGAATAAGTGCGGAGAAATAGCTCGGTATTTACTCTCGCGTTCTTGGACGGACGATAAAGAGTTGAAAGCAGAATTTATCGTATATTTAATTCAAATGGACGTTAAACATTCGGCAGATGTAGTAACAAGAGTAGAAAATTACGCGACTGCTGTCATTCCTGCTTTCATTGAGAGCGATGCTGATATCCTTGTAGCGAATCCTTTGCTAAATAGAGATACTTTTGCTCATTTCTATAAAGCAATTTTACTTGAGATTGACGAGGTGATTGATGCATACAACCCTGTTAACTTTGAATCGGAACAAGAAACCGTGAGATTTTTCTTCAGGATGACCAGCTGTTGGAAGAGCTTGATTTCTGTTATTAAGACAAACCAAAAGCGTGCTGTGCTGTCAGTTGTTTTGAAGTATGGAGGACGATATGTTGACTTGTTTGTAAAGAAGGTCTTACCGTTTATGGATAAAAACTTCAAATCGCATCGCGACGATGTTTTGAAAATTTTCAAAGATTTCCAGAACGGGACTCGGGTTATTCAGGTATTCAGAACGTTAACTCATTTGTTTGGTATGATAATACTGATCATTAAACGGCTGACTAGGCTGTGACATGTTACTATACCTATCTGCATTCTTATGTTTGTCTTTGATAATCCATCTTAATTTGTTATTAGGCCCTTTGCTCTCATGTCAAGGTTGTTAAAGACACGACATTAGCATCTCTTGTTCCGAAAGTGAAAAGATCACTCGAAACTGTTATATTTCAGGTAAAGGGTATGTTACTTCATAATGATTGTCCATCAGATGCATTCTTCATGGGCAATCTTAAACATCGTGATCTTGAGGGACGAGAGGTGTCAGCAGATATGCCAAGGGAGGAAGATGACAAGGAGAATGAGGATACTGGCACACATGACGATTGTGATACTGGAAGTGATGCTGATGTTAGTGATAAAGACGAAACATGTGTAAATAATGGAGTCACGAATGACGAAAATGAAGGAAGAGGGTCAGATACAGAATCAAACGTTTTACAAGAGACGCGTTGTCCGAACAATAAGGCTACTTCGATAAAAGAAATGCCTCAAAAGGTATCAAAAAAGAAATCACGTGGACAGATTTCTAACTCGAAGTCTGCTAAAGCGCGATCACCTTCTGCATACCAATATTCTGACGAAGAAGAAACGGAAAGTATTGTGTACGATGATGTAGATTTGAGCAACGATGACGAACGCGATGCTAGTGATAACAGTGGCGATGTTAGTGGTGATAGTGATATAGCAATGTTCATTGACGATGAAGCAGATGTAGATGGTGACGAAGAAGATAATAATAGCTCAGAAACTTCACCGAAAAGGAAAATGTCTGGAGAATCATCTCTATCCAAGCAGTCTAAAAGACTTTGTAAATAGTCTTTACTCAGATGTGTACAACCAACAAGGAACCATGATAATGTCTTTATCTGATGAAGACTAATTGATTAATTGGATTACGAGACGTTAGTGTATACCTATATTCGGTCAAATAATCTCGAATCATTAAATTACTTTACTCCCCTCCGTACCCCAATAAGTGCTCTATGCATACAAAAAAGTGATTTACCAGTAGTGTATAATAAAAGTATTTGCAAATGCTATGAACATTGACAGAATGAACGATACCTTGTGCCTCGGAGACATGAAAATTATTACAAAAATTATATATAAGAACAATAATGATGAGGTAGTGACAAACAAATCGACGAACGAAATTAACAAAAAGTAAGCTGACATTTTCAATAAATTTCAATCTCAAGCTGAATAAATAATCCAATGATCAGCCAAAGAAAGTTGAAGAGAACAGTGAGTTAAGGATATATAATATATAAGCGAAAACCAAATCCTTGTTATCTGTTATCAAAAGGATACAAATAGGAATGCAGTTCGTCGTGGATTACGAAAACTAAGTCCCTGGGGGTTATATACACTCTGATTTTCTCGATCTAGAAATTTACAAATTTCTTCTATCGTCTACGTGATATCAAATATCAATAGCATATTAATTTTCAGCGATTCAACCATAATCAATAAACCTATCCATATAAAATATTATCAACAATGACTCACCCGCTCATAATGTGATTTTATACACAGAGTCGAAACATATAACGTAAGACAAGACAGAAGGTTATCAAACCAGTTATATTTCGGATTATGCGCTTTTTCTAGCATTCCGTTCAGCGTGCTTATTGTAAACTCGAATTGATGAGGCGAAACCTAAATACAAGCGAAAGGCAAGACCCAATTAGGATGCAACTGGCATTTAATAACACATATTAATGGCTAATTCTTAACGAAATACTGTAATCCAGAATTCTACCAATATGGCCACTGATTGCCGTATGTGTAGTTGATAAACATCGCAATATCGTTATAACACCGACTACTCACTCGCCCATTTATCTTGTCTGGGAATGTCAGATTAAACTGACATAACTCTCCCTTGGAATAATCCCTCTCTACGCGAATAATTTGCTTAGGCAAAAGACCTGCTGAAGTCGCCCTACTCGAAGGAGCTGCTGCTATTGACTCTGGGTCAAGAAAGGTATATCTACCCATGTTATCACCTTCAACTAAACGTAAAGCAACCATGCCATCTTCAGCTATCTCTGATATATGAGTAGGGTCTACATCTGGGTCGGAGTATTGAGTGGATGAGAAGAGTATTCGAGTAAGCGGCGTTTTAGGAGAAGTTGGTATTGAACCGTTATCTCTTACGGACATGTTAATAAAAGTGAAGGAGAGGGAAGAGAGAGGCTTTATGTGGGTCAGAGTAGCGAGATCCAAACGTCATTATTTGATGCGCTGTGCAACAACAAATTCACACGAAATGAAATTCCTAATAGGTTACAAACAAATCGTTTCATAGCGGACCACAGGTTATAGACACTGAAAAATTTTCATATAATTATCAGAAATAAAAAGCTTATTTCTTTTTTGCATTGTGAGTTTCCTAGAGACCTTATCTCTAATTATTAATAAATACTCAGAACGTTAAAGTTTATAACAATTGCATCTTCCCCATAGTGAGTGTTGATCTTCGTACCACGGCGATCATAAATTTTGTGCATTGTCAGGATATTTATGAGCTTGACAGCAAATTTGGTAGATGAACACGAGATTGTGACATATTTTTCGCCCGGGGATGGTTTAACTTTTTTTAATTTTCAGTTTAATCGATGTGTGCCAGCATTTGTTCTTCGAAATCAGAACAATTCGCGCAGATATTAGACACAAAGAAAAACTTTATTTTACGATATTAAATACAAAACTCTTGCGTGCCCACTGTAACAGTGCTGCAGATTCTAATCTTGGCAGTTAGTTTTCATGTAGTTAGCACAAACTTTCGCCAACTGTTTCCCCTCGTACTTGTCAGCATATTCCTTGATAATCTTGACATTTGTGCGTGTTAAATAACGTGATAGTCTACATTCTACAATGTCACGTAAATCAATTAATTCGTAAAAATTTGCTGCCCACAAAAGGTCCAAATATAATTGCACTCTTTCGCTCTCTTCTTCGACAACATTCCACTTCGAACTGATGGAAACATTTAACATGTTTCCATAAAGATAACTTAGAAAGACCTCAAACGATCGTGGATCCATTTCCGAAATTTCATGAACGGCTGGGTCAGACGGAGTCGATCCTTTGAAGTGAGTGCTAGAGAGAAATTTTTTGAACATTCCTCCGTTAGCTGCTAGCACATATTTATTTGCATAAAATTTTTCGCCTTTGACATCAAAGACTGTATCGTGTACATCCGGATTTTCCGAGAGAAGGTTCAAAATCCCGGTGAGAAATCTATTCGTCTGCTTGTCTTCGGGTTCGGGAAGGCATTCCAGTCGTACATTTTTGACCCCCGCAGCCTTAAGTAATTCCGGATACGGTTGAAGGATTTCTTTTATGAAATCATTTTCTTGTTTGGTAGCTCCGAACTTCAATTGTGAATACGCCTTCCAGTTCTTACGGTCGAATGGATCTTCTCCCTCATTTATATTTAAAAAAATAGTACCCGCCTTTTTCAGCCATCTCCCAATGGTTGAGTCGCTATTTCGAGCAGTTCTATCCAGGATTCCATAGATCATTTTTACAATACGATACACGTCTTTCCGGTCTACCAATTCATCCAGTTTCATAGAAATCTGTTTCAAATGCTTTAGAACATGTTCAGGTGTTGGCGTCCCAATGTGAGGATATTTTCTCGTTATGTCTCCTCTCGGAATGACATTATAATCGATAATTGGCAGCTGTGTCCATGAAATATCCCTGTACTCTGGGCGACAGATGTTTTTGAGTGTCCCAAATCCACTAGGAGGCATAGGGCAACATTTGTGTCTCTGACCATTTGCCATAACCGGTACAACGGGGACGAATTCAATCAACTCGAGACAAGCCCACTGTTCATCATTGAAGCTCAACGAGGAGAAATTATTGTATAAATAGTTCAAAGCAACTAATGCAGGAACACGAAGATTAATGGTGGAATCGTTCTCTAACTCAGCTGTCCATTTCACTTGTTCTGCAATGTACTCAGCACACTTTAGAAAATTTTTCGCGTCAACTGATGTATTTACACCGATTTTTTGCAGATTCTGTATAGAGTCGCTATTCCCTTTGAAGCTTGCACTTAATAACTTATCTGGTGCGTTACCAAAGACTATACGAAATAGTTCTACATCCGCATGATAAAGATTCGATGGTTTAACCATACTGCCTTCTTGATTTGGAATCATTTTTCTAATTCTTAGGTACTCAAGGATCGAATCGTCATTTAATCCCAGTATGGATTCTAAAAACCG